TGTCTCCCAACCATTCAGACACAGGGAGCATTAACGGCACACTCTGAGAGCTGGAATGGGATGTGTGGGAGGCACCAGGTGGGGAGGGGGCATGAGCAGGAACGCTCAGCTGCCCCAGGTAGCATCAGACAAGAGCAGCTTCAACAGGATCTGTTTCAAGTCTGCCTTTACTCAAAGAATAGGTTACAGTGTTTTAAAGCTTTGCCTTGTTTCCCATTGTGGTTAAGTGGGGAAACTGAGGTATAGAAAGTGGAGGGAGCTGGGTCAGAGTCACACAGCACATTGGGGACAAATTCACAAATGGACACTGTGTTTTCAAAATGCCAGGTCTGTCACCATCCCAATATTTCAGACATGGAGTGACCAGGCTTAAAGGCAGAAGGTTCTATTTCAACAAGGGATCCTAAATGTAACCCCCAGCATGAGAGGTATGAGAACGGGCAGTGAAAGCTGACATGAACCTGGATAAGAATCCCTGAAATGTGAGCACAGGGCAGCATCTTGCTTTCCACAGTTGTGAGGTTCTCCTGAGAAGCAGCACCACATAGCAGAGTGGAGAGGGCCACGCACCATGGGGTCCAGTCCTACCCACAGGCCTCGCTTGTTGGGCAGGGGGTTTTATCTCTCAAGGCCTGGTTTCATTGTGAGTGAGGAAGACATGAATGCCTGCCCTGCCCCTCCTCCTGGATTTGGGAAGCCATCATGATTGGGAAAGTGTATCATGAACCTCTAGGACTGACCAAGTTAGAGGGAGCTCAGTTCTGACTGTGCTTTAATTACCTACTAAGGGAAAATCTATATATTTTGTTTTTAGCCCAGATAATAAACATTCTCTCTCACTTTCGATTACAAAGGAAAAAAAATAACAAAAGCTTGTATGAGGCCAACACACCTACAGAACAACGAAAAACACAGTCTACCTTACCCAAACTGCACACCCTACAGGCAGTTCTGACACTGGCTTCCAGTTTGATGCCCATCCTGACTAGGAAGGCTGGGCTAGTAAGTGGACATCCTGGTTCCCAAACACCAAGTCAAGGGGCTCTGGAATTTGGTAAACCATCCCATTAAGACTATTTATCTCTAGAAGATGGGGAAAGGTGGGCATCGAATGGCTGCTGTCTATTCCACACCCTGGAACAAAACAATGGCATGCTTTGTTTTGTTGTTTAAGAGTATTTGATTTTGAAGCATAGAATTCTAAAAAGAACACAAGGCCCTCTGCCTAAGGCCATCTTACTTTCAGAATGACAGGGTAAGAAGGGACACTGGTAACATCTAATCCAAACGCTACAAGCACAGATGACAAAACCAGGACCCAGAGAGGGGGCTGGGGGCTGCTTGGGACACATAGCAAGTTAAGGGGAGGCAGAGGAGGGCAAGGTAACAGAGCACCAGCGAGTCGGTCATCAGGTGAGATAAAGATTCACAGTGGATGCAGGCCTGCCACAAAGCCCTTTAGAATTACAAGTACACTGTCACATGATATTCCCTGGAAGGAGTAGTTACAAAAGGATTCTCACAGAGCAATTCATTCCAAAAGTATAAAAAAAGTAACATGCACTTCTGCTTTCTCAACATTTGCCCGGCTAAAAACTACCCATGAATCTAGCTGGCATCTAATTTAAAAAACATACAAAAGGGTCCTCTACAGTCACAGCTTTGCCCAACTCTTCATGAAGGAGAATGATCTGTGACTTGAGATTTCCATCATCTTGTGGTCAGTGCTTCTAAGTCCCTATGAAGGAAAAGAAGGAAGAAATTAGATGAAAAATATCTAGGATAAGTGTTATCAAGAGGTGGGAGAAAATGACCCTTAGCTTTAAACTTCTCCAGGGCAATCAATGATGACAGTGGGGAGCATGGAGTCCTCAAGAGATAGATTTTTAGGCCAGTGGGTAAAAATTTCAGAGAGGCAAATCTAACATGAGGATGACTTTTATAACCATTGGAAAAGCCAAAGACAGCTATTTGCAGGTAATGAGAACCATGTCCCTGTGAGTATGCATGTGAGGCTGGCCAACACTGCCTGTTGTGGGGGAAACTCAAGGCCGGGGTGGCTACACAACATGAGGGACCCTGGAGGACATTATGTTGAGTGAAATATCTCAGTCTCAAAAGGACAAATACTGCATAACAACACTGTTATAAAGCAGGATTGACACGGGGGGCTGGGAGGAGAATAGGAAAGGAATGGATAGATAATGAACACTGTATTGGAGCAGATGAAGGAAACAATTGTTTAAAAAGAATATATGATTAGGCATTATATGTGTAAGACGTGGTTCAAAATAAGATGCATACATGGCATACAGGACTGGAGGGGAGAGGAAGGAAATAGGGCAACAATGAATGAATATTTTAAAAAAAGAAAGCCAACTGGGGGAAGGGGAGGAGAAAGGGAGGGAAGAAATTGTGCAATAATTAATGAATGAAAGTCCAACTTTTCTGTAAACATTCATTAAAATCACAATTAAAATAAAAAATTTATTATTAAAAAAAAGACGTAGGTGGTGATGATCATTAAAATGCCATGGTGACTTTTGGGCTTTCTTTTGAAAATTTACTTATTGTAGACAACATGTACATCCCAGAATCAACTGAGTTTAAAAATATATATATTATGTATTAGCTCTCTGCAGTGCCTGGGTGGTGTAAATGGTGGGTGTATGGGGCTAACTGAACGGTTTGAAGTTCAAGACCACTCAAAGATACTTTAGAAGAATGACCTGGAGATTTACTTTCAAAATAAACCAGTCATTGAAAACCCTAGTGAGTTGTTGTTGTTGTTGTGTACCATCAATTGGAACTGACCCACTAGTACAGGTCTACTCTTATACACATGGAGTTACCATGAAATAGAGTTGACTCAATGAGTCGATATTATTAGTTCTTTAAAGTAGTAAAAACCAAAAAAGTACCAGCAAGATGATTTTAAGACCCTTATCACTTAATTCCTGGAAGTTCGTTTTCCCATATTTCTAGGAGCTCTAACTACTAATGTACATTCAACCCCAATGCCAGTGCTGCCTCTCACCCCTCAAGTCCACACAAGCTCCTATCTAGCCCCTTACTGTTGTGTTCCTTGTAATATGATAACATGAATGCTTTGTTTTCTTCATGCACCCCCTCAGACATGCATGGCCATGTACACAGAGAGCCTGCAACTAACAATAACAAGGCAAACAGCATTATTATGACAGTAAAATCCTTCTCTTTTTAATATTATATCCATCCTCCTTCGGTCCCAGCCCTATCACTGAAGTTACTGGTTGGCCTTGGTGACAGTGACTGCTCACAGTTCTTCCTGTTCCTGTAAGAGGATCTCACACTCCTGCCTTTGTCTCCTGGGTGGAGTACACACACCACCATCCCGGCATTGACCATGAGCATGACTAGATGTCTTGCTTTGACCAGGTGGACTGTAAGGAGTATGACTTAAAACACATCTGACCAGTAACTACAAATGGGCTTGTCTCTTGCTCTTATCTCTGCCACAAGTCTATTTTGCTGAGTCCTAGAACATAAACATGTGGGGTGAAGCCACAGCTAGGTTGAAGCTGTGGCACTGAATGTGAACAATAGCTTCAAGTGTATGTGATTGTGAACCAGTAAGGTGCTGTTACATTGCAAAGATTGTTTGAAAAAGCAATTCATTAAACAACCTACATTATTTGCTTGCTGAAACTGAGGAGAACCCAAACTTCTTGCTGCAGAAGGTCAAGGACTGATATTGAGAAGACAAAGATTCTCACCACTGGGCCAATTGGCAGTGCCATGATAGATGGGGAAGAGATTGAGGTTGTTAACAATTACAGCTTGCTCGGCTCCATTATCAACACTTAACACCAGCAGTCAGGAAATAAAAAGATGAACTGCATTGGGAAAATCTGCGGTCAGGGACCTCTCTAGAGTACTGAAAAGCAACGATGTCAGTCTAGAGACTAAGGTGTGCCTAATTCGGGTCATGGTCTTTGCGGTAATTTGCTATGTATCAGAGAGCTGGACAATGAATGGCTAAGGATGACAGAAGAAGAATCAATGCCTTTGAGTTGTGGTGCTGGAGAAGAGTCTTGAACATACCATGGACTGCCAAGAAAACAAATTGGTCTTGGAGAGGATGAAACCAAGTTTCTCCTTGGAGACTAGGATTTTGAAGCTCTGTCTCACTTACTTTGAGCATGTGGCCAGGAGAGAACAGTCTTTGAAGAAGGACATCATGCTCGGAAGGTTGGAGGAACAGTTCAGAAGAGGAAGACCTCAGACTACAGTAATTGATACAGTAACCGGGGCGATGGGGGTTGGTGTGTCAGAATCAGTGAGACTGGCTCAGGATAGGGCAGGCTTCAGAGCTACTGAACATAGGGTTGTAGATGACTCGATAGCACATGACAACAACAACATCACAATTCCACAGTGTGGCAGACAAATGTTGCCAGCTCTCAGCCATGCACCTATGAGGACTAAAGGCTAGCTGATCAGGAGACACAAGCCACCCTCTGCCTTCACCCCTCTTAGAAGCATAATAAAAGAGGGTGCAGCATAGAGGACGGGAAGGCAAAGAGTAGAGAAGACAGAACGGTCCACTGAGGCAGAGCCCAGACTCAGACAGATGCAGCTCAGACTGACTTCTTTGCGAGGACGTTTCCACATGGATGCTGTCATGATGGCACTATCTACTACATCACTCGGCGCCTTCTCTCAGAAGACCCACAGGGAATATTCCCTCCGGCCTCAAAAACAGAAAACACGTTATTATTTATTTTATGGATGATTATGATGTTTACAACTTTTGACTTGGTGTGCAAGGAAGCCCCGAGTGGGATCTGTGCGGGACACTCTAGCTTCATCAGAGGCTTTTACTCCTGTTTTGCTTTTCGTCTGGTTTCCTTGATTTATGTATTTTTTATTACATATCTGAGCAGCCATTGCAAACCTCCAGTGACATACAGACCTAAAAAAGGACTTAAAGTATGTACTTTACTTCATGACATGGGCCATCAGGAGCTGGGAGGAGGAAAGGGAGGTTGCTGTAGATACTTACTGTATTGTGTGACTGTCACCGTGCCCTGGGACTGGGTCTCCCCAACTGTGTTGGCTGCATGACACTGGTACACTCCTTCATCTTCCTTTCTCAGTGGTTTGATCTTGAAATAAAACGGGCAAAGAACAGAATAAGAAAGCTGATGTAGTTAAATCCGCCACAGAAATTTGAAGTCCTCACTTAGCTTCTAACGCCGCAGCATAATATTTAGTCTTCGTTCAGAATAAGATACAGCTCCTCCTAGTTCATCTTGCTTTGGCTGCCAAGAAGCAGAGTTCAAACTTCTTCCAGGCTGTCTTCTTTTAAGTCCGTTTTCACAATCGAGGCTCTCCTTTTAATAAATCTCTGTGCCTGTCATTTACGGTGAGCTATTCAGTCCTATTTTGGAAGACAATCGGTATAGATTACGTTGTTGTTGCTGTGTGCCATTGAGTTGGATCTGACCCTACAGAGAGTTTTCAGAGGCAGTAATTACATGAGAGGAGATTATCCATCTTTCTCTTGCGGAGAAGCTGGTAGATTTGAACCGCATGCCTTTGGGATTGCAGCGCAGATTCTAACCAAAGGACACCAGAGCTCCCGATGGCGTATAAGGAGAGCAAATTAAATTTTTAAGAATACAAAAATTTAGTGACTAACGAAGGACCCAAATGTACTCCGCAAGGAGGCAGTCTTTACAAAATCACATCAACGATAACCTTCCCCCATTCTTTCTTTGGAGGATAAAGGGTGGGGGGGGAGATGTGTTTATTTTGAACAAGCCACAGACCCAACACTACTCTAGTTTTCTCAGCTGGGTGGAGGAGAGTTGGGGGGCAGAAATGAAGAAGACGTCTTCTCCTCAGAGAGCAAAACGATATCCTGTCCTCATTCTACTATGAAGATCTTTTGCCTTCCCTTGTTATAACTGCCCCTGTCAACAGTCAGCTGAGTCCATTCCAACGTGGCAACACCTAAAACAACATAAAGCCAATAGCAAAGGGAGCTCAGGTGGCACTGTCCACAGGGAGATGCACTGCTAACCCAAAGGCCAGAGCTCTCCAGGAGTTTAAATCCACCAAAAGGTCCTCAGAAGAAAGATGGGTGATCTCTTCCCATGTAAATCACAGCCTCAGAAACCCAGTGGAGGGTCAACTGAGACGGTTCTGACTCGATGGCAACAAGAGAGAGGAGGAGTCCTTGGCAAATCACCATGAGAGACTTCAGGAGCTCTGGTAGCACTGAGGTTAAAGCTGCTACCCAAAGGTTATTAGTGCGAACCAGTAGCCACCCCTCGGGGGCAAGATGCCACAGTCGGCTTCTGTGAAGACTGGCGGCCTTGGCAACTCAAACAGAGCAGCTCCACTCTGCCCTACAGTGTTGCTTTGTGCTGGAGTCAACTCGATGGCAGGGGTCTGCAGGCTTCAGAGAGGACTCCCACACACCATCTCAGTCTGAGCTTGCTGCACTCAGGGGTGAAGAGGGAGTGTTCCTGCCCTCATTTCTAGCTGATGCACAGGTAGATCATAGGCAGTGCAGGTCACAAGGCCCATAGTCTGAGCCATTCCTCCCCACCCCCCTTTTCTTTTTTAACAATTGTGGCAACAGGAGCTGCCATAGCTGGAGTAACTAGCCAACCTGAGCCTCCATCTCCTCAGGCCATGGCTCTTTTAACCACTTGGTGTTCTCTCAAGCTCCAAAACAAGCTACAAATGGTGTAAAAGAACCTTGAAGAGGCTATGAATGCGCTATCTCCCTCTTCATCAGCCACGTGGTATTCCAAACCCATTGCCATGGGGTTGAGTCTAAATCACAGCAACCCTCATTCAGGTTCCTCTCCTGAGACAGTAACTCTTTCCCCCGAGGTATGGCTGGTGGACTAGAACCACTGACCTTCTAGTCAGCAGTCCAAGGCTCAATTTCAGGTATGTATTCTTTTCTTATTGCTGCTGTAACAAATCATCACAGTTTGATGGTTTAAACACTACAGATTTATCATCTCTACTTTTGGACATTGGAAGTCTCAGTTGAGTCTTCCTGAATCAAAATCAAGATTGCTTTCCTTTTGGCAATTCTGGGGGAGAAGTGGATTCCTGCCTTTCCAGCTTCTCAATGCAATTGGCGTTCCTTGTCTGCGGCCCCTTCCTCTTCTGTACAGTTGGCAATGCTGATTGTGTCTTTCTCATCTCCCATCCCTCTGCCTCCCATTCTTCCATTTAAAGTAATCGTGTGATAACAACACAGGACCCCCTGGATAATCCAGAATACTCTTTTGATGTTAGGGTCAGCTGATTAGTAATCTCGATTCCATCTACAGCCGTAATTTTCCCTGTTCATGTAACAACCTGTTCACAGAATCCAGGAATTGGAACAAGGACATCTCTGGGGGCTGATATTGGACCACTTATCCTCCCAGGAAAAGCACAGCCCACCCTGCTCTGATGGGATCCAATGTAAAATGGATTAAAGGGCTCTGAAAATTGTAGTGTGTTACAGAAAAACAAAAGATGTCCATGCTCTTGGCTGCAGTTGGAAAGGTTGGTGGTTTGAGTCCACCCAAAGGCACTTCAGAACAAAGTCCTGGTGATCTTCTCAGGTCGGGAATAGGAATCAGCCTTTGAAAATCTGACATAGTAGAGTTCTACTCTGACACACAGTGAACCAGAATCGAATCTACAGTATCCAATGGCTGGCTGTCAGTCAGCAATGCCCGAGGGTCCTAAGCAAACAAGACGCTCACCAAAACCCAGGAAGTGGCCTCGTGATCAGAAGGGCCTCCTCGCACCTGGACAGCGACATTGACATGGTCTCCAGGCAGCTCCTCCAGCACCTGTGTGCCCTCGGGAGACTGGGTGACCTACAGAGAGCAGAAAAACGAGAGGTAGAGGAGCTTAGAAAAACTATTTCTTTTTTACATTTTTTCTTTTTATTTTATATTAGTTTGCATACAAAATTCATACACATTGTGTTCCACGCTTTCCTTCATTCATTTTGTTTTCATATAGTCATTCTTATACATTGTTTTATAAAATTAATCACCACTGAACTATGCCTACCATTGCATCATCTTTTCAGGTCCCCACTGGATCTTTTCCATTTCCTTCACACCCTCCCTCTAAAAGCGACTTCCTGATAAGGACTCCCACAGACACCCTCTCTGTCCTCAGACCTCCTACTGACTGACGCAGATCCTACAGTGCTATGTGCTGTTGAGTCCATTCCAAGTCATAAGAACCCTATTCAAGCAATGACAACGTCGCAGGGCGTTACCAAGGCTGTGTCTTCTCCTGTGGAGACATTGGGCGTGTGCTGTGAAACAATCAAACACTGAACCATGGCGCCTCCACCAAAACTCTAGCACTTCTTATTTGCATTAAAATGATCTCTAAACTCTGGTGGCCTCATGGCAAGAAGCTGCACTGCAATCCCAGAAGTATGTAGTTCAAATCCACCAGAATCTCTGCTGGAGAAGGAGGGGCAATCTTCTCCTGTACCTGTCAGATCCGATTTGAGGACACACACACACACACACACACAAGTAAAAAATAAAAATATTTCAATCTCTAATCCCTGGTGGCACTCTAGTTAAAACATTTGGTTGCTAACCTAATGATCAGCAGTTCAAACCCAATAGTCACTCTATGGCAGAGAGATGAGGCAGTTTACTTCTGTAAAGATTTCTATCTTTGGGAGCCCTACACACAGCTCTACTCCATCCTACAGGGTCGTTATGTGTAAGAATCAACTTGATGGCAAGGGATTTGGCTCGGTTTTAATCCTAGAAGTATGAACAGACCATCCCTCCACCTGGGCTGTGAAAATCTGAACCACTGGCATAGCACATAAGTTATCAGCTTGATAACCGAAAGGCTGGTGGAATGCATGAGCTGCTTCAAGGGATAAAGATGGACCGTCTCGTCTGATCAAGGTTTAAAGGCCTCAGGAAGCTGATGGAGGGTGGCTGGGAGTAGGAATTGACTCAATGCAGGTAGGGAGGTAACAACATATCTTTAACCTCTGACCCTCATATAAAGATACACACACAGACCTTAAAACAAAAAGAAAATGTACTATCTATGTCTGTCTGTCTGTCTCTCTCTCACACACACGCATGTGCATGTGCGCACACATGTGCTCACACACACATGCTCACACACAGGTTCTTACACAGAAATACCTTTCTCCATGTGATAACAGGAGCAGGCACAGCCCGCACCTCACAGGACAGATACACTTGTGCCCCGGTGACGTTGTGAGCACTCCGGGGTGGGATGACGATCACAGGAGCTGTGAGAAGAAGACAGAAAACAAAACCTTTACCCTGCCAGGTCCTGAGCACTCCACTTTAGTCTCAAACCTCCCTGTCTGCTGAGTGTCTGCTGGGACACGGAACATCAATGCTAGCTCTCGTATAGTCACTACTTAACGGCACCTTCCAGGCTCTGAAATAGTGGAAGAGTTGGCAGCCAATGAAACCCTACACACACACACACAGACATTCTTCTTGGCCCCAGAATCATAGGTGAGAGTCTTTCCAAGACCTGGAAAGATGCCTAGAGATTTGAAAATTTATCATCTTAGTTTTAACAGCAAGAAAATGGGAGTTCGAGGAGGAAAGGCAACATCCTGAAGTCCCCATGTATGTGGCAGAGTTGGGGGTCTCCGCGATCCCCCAACTCACATACACACACACACACACACACCGCTCAGTGCTCCTTCCAAGGC